GTATCAAATTCCTAATATTTTCTTGATTTTTTTTTTATTTTTTTTGAAAACAGGGTGAGAAATTTTTGCTGTAAATGGAATTATACGGCTGAGATTCCCACAAGCTAAGAATGAAGATAGAGACAAGGTTAGTGTTGATGTCTTAATTTAATTTAATTTAAGGTCATGCCCACAAGCTGTTTGATGAAATTCCTCAAAAGGATTTTCTTCTTCTAATGGCTTTCATTTGTTAATTTAAGGCCATATCTGCAAGCTGTTTGATGAAAGTCCTGAAAGAATTCTCTTCTTCTAATGGCTTTGATTTCTTAAATTTAAGGCCATATCAGCAAACTGTTTGATGAAAGTCCGGAAAGAATTCTCTTCTTCTAATGGCTGTGCTGTCTTGTTTATAAGCATTTTCTTGCCCCTTTAAGATCTATCCAGTGATCATCAATTTATTAGGCTAAATTAACACTTAAACTTTCCATCAAATATCAAGAGTGCCACATTTGTGCTAGTCACCTGTCATCCCAAAGCCTTCAACTCTTGCCACCTCCTCCCCACAATTGGCAATTGGTTTCCGGTGCAATCAAGCTTCAAAATCCCATTTTAAACCTCATTTTCTCCTCCATTTTTAGGCATTTTGGGACTCATTTGCCTAAACAATTATTTTTAAACACTTCCATTTTTGAAGAACCCGAATACTTTACACAGTGACTGTCAGCTCCCTCCATCCTTCCTCTTCCTCCTATAAAACTTCTAGTGACATTGCTCTCAATGCCACACTCCCTTTCCCATTTTTCTTTCCTGTCATTTTTGTGTTTCTCTTTTTTGTTTTTTCTAAGTCTATCATCTTTCTTATGGAAGAGAACCAACCGATGGAAGAAAGCTCCCGCAGAAAGGGGAAGAAGGAGAAGAAGGAGAAGAAGGAGAAGAAGGAAGAGAAGTTAATCTGTTCAATATGCTTGTATCGTTTCTGTTACGAAGACTTACTTAGGCACCAAACTCATCACAATGGAAAATATTTTATTTGTCGAACGTGTTCGATCAAGTACAAGTCGAAGAGTGACTTGTGGTCTCATCAAGGAGAAAAGAGCCACAAATAATAAGACAATGGTCTCACCATCCTTCTTCGTTGCTATCTATCTATATTTCTGTATTATGTATTGCTATCTATCTCTATTTCTCTATGTCTCCTTTCTCCAATTTATCTATATTTCTGTATTATGTCTTTACATTGCTACCTATCTATATTTCTCTATGTCTTTTCTCCTCTTCATTTGAAGTATAAATTTATCTTATTTACATAATCTAAATATTAATATTATAAATAGATTGTGTGTTACTTACGAAATGTTTTCTTTCTCTAGTGTAGTGTTTAAACACTTTTCTAAAATGAGAAAAAAAAAATTGTATTTCGTTTAAAAAAAATTTGCATTTGGTTTCGGTAACTATTTTGTTTCGTGGGAAAGTTCTATTTTGTTTTCTTGTGAGAAAGTTGGTGTTTGGAAGTTTGCAAATACATGCCATTTTGTTCCTTGGAAGAGAATATTATTTTGCTCCCCCAACTGAAAAGGGTGATTTTAACTTCTAGCTCATTTTAGTCTATAATTTTTTTTAAAAATAAACTACCATCTATATGTTCTAATACACATTACCCCTTTTTAGCCGGCATTTTTTAATATTCCTTTTTTATTTTTTAAAAATAAACTATATAAAAGAAAAAAAAATCTTATAATCTAAAATGTAAAAACTGTTAATAAAAGAAAAAAAAAAAAGAAGCCAAAATATATACATATATTTGTAAAATGAAAGAAAAAGAAATACATTCTAAGCTACTCGTACACGACATTCCAATGACACCGTCCTGTTGAACGACGTTCGTAGCAGTGCTACCGATTTTTTGATCAGACGAAGCGGTTGACATTCCAATTACCTAATAATAATAAATCATCCTTATTGTAATTTTTACTTCTTTTTTAACTCTTATAAAGTACAGTCATCTAAACATTAAAAATCAAAATATTTAACAAAATTTTCAAATGGATTAATGTTTTATTTAATTTTTATGGTAATTATTATTCTGATTTTGTAAATTAAATACAAAACTTATTTTGTTATTTTCTAATTAATATTTTACTATATACTCTCAAATTTTGTAAATTTAAAAATAAATCTTTCATTTATTAACTACTATTAAACGTCTATTTTAAGTATTATAATATTTCACAAAATAACGTATTAGAGGTAAAAAAACATACAACATATTAAAGAAAATATTACCTTTTATTTAGAACCTTATCAATTTCGGGATCCAAAAATAAAATAGAATATATAACCATAAAAAAATAAAATAAAATATACAATTATTTTAAAAAAAAAAAAAAAAAAAAAAAAAAAAAAAAG